TTTCCATATCTTGGTTACTTTAGATAACTATTATACTTGTGGTATTTTGAGTAGTTTCAATTTTTTTAGAAAAGTCAAAGGTCATTTTGGAAATATGGGTTTGTATTTGGGTTACTTTGGCATATAACCTCCATCATATAAGCATATTCACAACCATGGTCATTTTCTTGTCAATAGTTTAAAAGACAAAGATACCCTAAATAAGATTATTAAATTACAAAAAATAAAGTCATGTTAAAAGGACTATAATATTCTTTCAGTCATAAAACAAAAACAATCACTTCCAACTTAAAATTTTAGGGCGTGTTTTATTGCAAACATAAAATTTGGATGAAAATAAAATAAATTATTGACAAATGAATTGTCTAGAACTTATTTGCATGTAAATTATTAGTTAAAAGTATTTAATTAATTTAATTTTCAATTTAGAAAATGTTACATTTATTCATTTTTTATTGATAGGTAGATAAGAAAGGAGGTAGAGTAAATTGCCTGAAAAATAAAATTATATTCCCCTAAAAAAACTATTTCATTATTTTCGAAAAAAATATAGTCACGACCAAAAGTATCAAAATAATTTTCAGGGAAAATAATTAATCAAATAGCACAAAAGTATGAATTTGGGAGGAAAAAAACTTTTTGCATGGAAAAATATTAGTAATCAAATGTACACTTACTTTATTTATCTGTTTTCTCCAACACAGATAACAAATCTTTCATTTTTCATATTTTTAACCTTAAGTCATGAAAATTTTATCAACCGTTCAACAGAAAAATCGTGCTTATATGCATCATTTCGAATCGATAAGTATATTTACGTATATTTAATTTCATTTTCGTTAAATCAGTATCTTTCTTAATTTTTAAATCTTATTTCGACATACGGTAATACGTAGATAATTTTTACATTTTAATCAACATGTCTATAAATTTTTAAGCAAAAAATGAGAAGAAATTCATCTAAGAATATTCGAAGATCAAGATGCCGTCTAGACCATATGTTAAAAGAAGGCCCATACAGACGACTTAGTAAATTTTATTTTGCATTTTTTTAATCTAGCTTACTCTTACTTTGTTTTTTAATTTTGACTTCTAATATATATACGAAATCAGCACTCATCATAATTTGTTATTTTGGTGAATTTCAAAGAAATGAAAATGGTTGATGTGCATGAAAGTGGACAAGTAATGGATATGGTGTTTATGAAATTTTGACAAAATTTGTTACATCATAAGCGCAACTGCTCAACGTTGATTCCTCCGAGTACAATATGAAATTGAGATTTCTATATAAAAAGCATTCTACCATTATGATTCTACCTGTAAAGGTTACTCCTGAATTGTAAATGAAGAGGCTAATTGATGTGACCAAAAACTACATTCTTATTTGCGTAACTTTAGTGAGGAAGGATATCCTTGAGAGTTTACACGAAGATTTCGATGGAGAGGATCGTAATGTGAATGATTTTTGGGATACGGTGGAGGTAGCTCGTGAGGAGATGTGGTTTTTCCTGAGATGTGCTATACACCGTGATCTCACTCTTATGTACAAAATTTCCGAGGTAGTTCAAAACAAAGAGGAGAAAATTCCATTTACAAACCAAGACTGATTAATTTATCCAATTAAAGACATGACTCCAATGGGAACTCATAGGCTGAGCCGAGTACATGATCTTCTAATTCTTCGCCTGTGGTTCCCAATGATGAAGATTTACGTGTCGAGCAACTATTTAACACTAAGAGAGATCTATAAGAAATTGTGCACATGATTGCATTAAAATACAACTTTGAGTTTAAAGTGAAGAAATCAGACAAGTCTACCTACACAATTCATCGAAATGTTTACAGACAAGCCTAATCATGATTTATTGGTTGACAGATAATGTACAAGTTATGAGATCCATGAACTATTTACAAATTGTAGACATCATTAATGACGTCCATTGAGTATGGGTGGTCATGAGCTACCAAGGCCTGAAAGGCTAAACAATGAGTGTTGGAGGATTTAATGGATTAACCGTAGGACAGTTACGCTTAATTGGCCAAGTATTGTCATAACATGGGGAGAACTAATCCCGACTCGACATTCTTTATTGAGATTGATGACGAGAATCACTTCATGTATTTCTTCATGGCTCTTAGATAAGGATTTGGAAGTTTTATAATTCGATGCGACCCCTAATTCTAGTCAATGTACAACCCAAAAAGCTAGATTAGGCAAGTTGATTATTGCTACATGTAAAGATGCTACATCTAAATTTACATTCCTACATTCAGCAAAGTCGATAGTGAAAATGATCTAGCAATACATTAGTTCTTCACTAAGATGAAGGAAGTAATTGGGGATGTCAAGAACCTTGTCTTTGTAATTGACCAGAGGAATGCTATAATAAATGGTATCAGTTGAGTATTTCCCAAAGTACACCATTGCTATTGTATATACTATATACAAGACAACCTGAAAACTAAGTATTACGATACTGACATCATTGTATTGGTTAGGCACACTATGGTTATTGCTTACAGTTTCGAGGAATTTAATAAGTTCATGGTCGAAATAGATAATTGATAATACATAGTTTACTAACTAAGCTCGACCTTATGTGTGGAATTACACTAATTAAAGCAACAAGTCTCTTTTAATTAGTTTTTAGTTGATTAAGCATACAATTCAATTATCCCATGTTTGAATACCACAGTTTGTAATACGGAAAGCCATAAAGAATAAATACCAAAATGATGACAAAGAAACCCAACTGGGTAAAAACTCCAATGTAATATGGAAAGCAATAAAGAATAAATACCAAAATGATGACAAAGAAACCCAACTGGGTAAAAACTCCAGGACCAAACCGTTACCTCCACTATACACAATATGGATTACAGTCATTTTCAGCCTAGCAAATTTCATTAGTTCCCACTGTTGTAATTCCTGTCATCTCCAAGATCTGCTATTCATCCAAACTCACGATCTGCTACTGTTGACACTATCTAGCCAACCTACTAGATCTCCCGATCTACTTCCTGTAGCTTCCAAGATCCGCTGTAAATTCCAGACTCCCGATCTTTTTCAATTGTCTCTTCCAAGTGGATATCCAGGAATCACATATTCCTGTTCTTCTTCTCGCACTTGTAGTCCAATCTCTCTCAACCTCCAGAAACTTCTAAAGTCCGACTGAGAAAGTACCTTTCTCAAAGTGTTAAGGAAGTCAGGTGTTTTGGATTCAAGAACCTTGATATTTTCCCAAAACTTATAAGGAAGTCAGGTGTGTTGGATTCAAGAACCTTGATATTTTCCCAAAACTTGGTTGATGGATCTCAAGAATGATATGGATGAAACACCAAATAATTATGCTCTTGGATCTTTCAAAATATGATGTAGATATGTTATACAATGAAAACAAAATAAAGCAACCACCTGGAATTCGTCCCAGACATCTGTATTTATAGTTGGGGATGCTGAGGTGTTATGGGTCCTGTAAAACTCTTCAAAATCGCGAATTAGGCCTGGCTGCATAAGTACGTCGCTCGAACGAGGGAGCCTGTTACTCGAGCGAGGGCGAGGCGAAAGGCGGACGACACAGTTTCTGTTTCGACGCTCGAGCCAAGTCTTGGTGATAGTCTAGTGAAATTTCGAAGCCGCGTTTTCCTTGTTTTCAACCTCTAACCCTAACTTAACTTATCTATACAAAATTACATCAAAGTCCTAGACTTTTTACAAGTGTTCAATTAAGACCCTTTTGTTCACGAACATGCTAATTACAACATTGGACCTAACAATCTCCCCCTTTGACATTTTGTGACAAAACCATACAAATAAAGTCAATGAAATAAAATACATCAAACTAAACTCCCCAATCTATATACTACCCAAGTTACTCAACTCAAATTCTTCTACTTCTTGTATTCCTTGGTATATCTGTTTCCTAAAATCAAAAACTCAATACCGAGTGTAAAAGCACATGATATAGGAAATTAAAAAAACTCATGAACACAAATAAGCATACTAGTTTGAGATATGACATTAATGTCA